AGAAAAATGTCCTCAGTGTGAGTAAATCTTAGGTCTGATCAGGATCAGGTTGTGGTCACTGGTGCCTAAGGGGGAGAACTGTTTGGTGGAAAAGGTGTCAGCGTGGTTTGTGATTATGTGATCTAGATGAGAGTTTCCTCTAGTCGGTTCAATAATCAGGTCGCTGAGATTTAGACAATAAAGAGTGCAGGGGTGACCAGCTATTAGGAGCAATCTGTCAGCAAGAGATGGGGCAATAATCGGGAGGAAATGATCATAAAATGTGCCAATTTCTGTCGATCTACACTGAGGTGCAATGTACAAGTCAGTGATGGCAATAAAGGGATAGCGGGAGAATTTGGGGTGACAGATGACGGTCAAGCAATCAAAATCATTCTGTGAATACTTAAAAAGTACTTCGAACTTGCCGCACCAATTGGAATTGATGTAAGTAATCACCCCACCTCCCAGCTTCTTCCTATACCGTTGTCTGTGTTGTCTGAAGGAGACGAAATTATCCATTTGGACCACGGAATCGTCCACATCCTCATTGAGCCATCATTCCTGAAGATACAAGACACAAGAGGTGCAAAATTCCTTTCGCTGGAGCAGGTAGGATACGTCCGGAAGCTTCCCAAACACAGAACGAACATGGTTACTCACAATGGTAGGCACGGTCATCTTGCTTGGAATAGTACAACCAAGGGCACTTTGCCAACCCGCACGAGTGCGTTTTTCGCGTTTGCAATATTGGTGCCTGTGACTAGTGACTGTCACTCCAAACATGGCATTATGGTTTTTCATATCAATATCGCTAATTTTCAACGTGAAATGCTTCGTGTAAATGGTTAACTCACGAATGTCGAGAAATGTTAGTGCGGTCGTCCAATGGTGCGCGTGACAATTCCTTAATTTATCTGTAATTTTCACAATCTACCATGAGATGCCACCTGTTTGATAGAAAAAAACGTCTCACTTGAGTAAACTGTCGTAATGTGTTTTGTTTTGATGAAATTCGGTTGATCAGTGTGTTGATGACTATTGAGCACGATCGACGTATGTAAGATATCACTTGATGTTTTGGTTTTCGATCGTATCGAATGCAGCTCCGAACAACTGGACACTGAATGCTCGAAACGGTACCCTGGTTGAAATAGAACAAGCTGGTCAGGAGGTGCATAGCTGGAATACTTTGCAATTAGGAAGACGTTTATTGTACGATTAGAATAGGTCAAATCTTATGAAATGTGGTGTATTTCACTGGCGAATTGAAGTTAGTTCATATGGAGTCGTGTACCGTCAACCTGTTTCTGGACAGAGAAATGTAAACAAAAGCGCATGAGCAAGGTAATGCAGTAAATGTAGCATACCACGAATTCTCCGTCCTTCTAAAAATCCTCTCCAGTGGATTAATGTCATCAACCCCAATTATTCAACGTTATTTTCCGGGGTCAATTTTAATCGTGTCACCATAGCTACGGTTAGTTCGCAATGAATGATACCCGTCAAGAAATATAATGACAACACAATGAAATTCTCCTATTCTAAAATTCACACTCTGTAAGTTGCTGTTTTTGGGAGACCTGTAAACAATGAATTATAAAAAGTATAAAATCTCAGAAGGCCATCACATCATCTCATCATTATCAACCGAAATGTCCTTTCGCTGTACAAAAATCTTGTAGATGTCAGTGACCTCATTCGATATCGAGAATATTGCCTAATTGGAATCATCCTTCTTCAAGAGATGTGGCTACATGTGGAGATAGTTGACCACTTCTTTAAAATTGATGGGTTCACGGCTTACTGCCTTTGTGGTTCTGTCCGGTTTCAAAGGCTTGGAGGAAGTATTATTGTGTATATTCAAGATGCCTGGTGATACAGTTCCACTATGCTATTCCGTCAATCCACCTTCCATATTAACTCATCCATTCTTAAATACCAGCCCGCGGTATCTCAGCAATTAACGGCCAGTTATTCTCTTAACCATATACATTTCCCCAACTTGCCCCGCGGATGAATATCTTTTTTCGAGTTTTAAATTCGTTTTCTGTTGCTTTGATAGATCATATAGGTGTTTCTATTTGTGTGGTAGTGGTTTGTGGTGCGTTTAACCCCTTTGACACCAGCTTTTAATAATATTCTTTTAAAAATGTAACACCGTTTTCCAAAAGAGTGAACGCCATCGTTTATCTATTCTTTTGTACACATCCAAGAAATGTTTTCAGTTTCCTGCTGTTCTCCTATCGGATCATCTGACCGCGTTATTGTCAGCAGTTCCGCCAATCTTTTCAAATCAATTAAGCCGTTGCCGAGATCTTAAGATTCGAAGGTGACACATTCAACCGGAAAATATTCTAAAACAGAAGGACATGGTTTCTTTGACAGTCTTCTCCTACCCTGATATATCGAATCTCTGTCTCCACTGAACTGACTATCACAACTTCTGCCTTGGTGTCTGCTCTCCTTGTGAAACGCTCTACATCCGATAGGATCGTTTTCCCTTTTTCGAAACAAACGCGCCGAAAAAGGAACACGCGTTTAAATGTAAGAATTATCATTTGATGAAGACCCTAGTAAAGTACATTAAGATTGAAGTTTGCCGTCCCAATTTTGTTTATAATCAGCACATTCTTTCAAACAAAGCCAATCGAAAAACCTGACGAATGCTGAAACAGTTTTGCGGCTCTTCTCTGAGAGTGTGCTCTACGTCCGCAGATGCAGAAAATATAAACCGTGGATTCCTCAGACTAACTAACTTTAGGTTTGCTCAAATGCTTGATTACCCCCTCTATCGCCAAAGTTCCTTACACTGTTCGGCGGGTGATGAATTCAACAGAAATATGTGAAGAGCTGCGAACGTTAAATTGTCACAAAACAGACAGACCAGATGGACTACATCCAATGGTGTTGAATGATTTGTGTCAGTGCCCAGCCACCTATCCTATCCACAGTCTTCAACCGTTGTGTTTCTCAGTGTTCAGTACCGGATTTTTGGAGAACAGCCAGTAGTACACCGATTCGCATTACAGTTTCAACTCCTTTTCGTCCCATAACTTCTGCCTTGACCATCCAAGGAGATTTGCTAGAATAATCTTATGCAAGTTGCTCCCATAATTGAACATAGTTGATTGTGGTCAATTGGCCTATTGTCGTAAACTCTTTACCCTCCGATGCTCTGGCTTCCGTAGTGTCATCGGTCGATAACAAATGCAAAGCTGCCAGAATGTGCTTCTTTAGACCACAGTAACTCATTTGGAAGTGTTGATCGAGTTCAGCTTCTGTATGTTCTGGCAAACCAAGGAATTCCTCCGCCTACTATTTTCTCGCTGTATGACTTTATGTTGTTTTGAAAACAGTTTACGTGCTACGGTGCACAGGTTTTCCAGTCTCCTTTCTTATTTTCCACTTACCTAGCTTCCAGACCTGTTTACAAAGACTCCTTGCGGATAAAATGTGCTGATGACGTTATTCTTGGCCTACACTATCCAAACAATTCTGTTCTATCTACTATGCAGCTTGATATTTCATAACTTAACGAGGGTTCTTCTGCACTGATTCTCTGTATGAATTCCTCTCAGTGTGTTGATGTTTTGTTTTTCCCATTTAGAGGTAATGCGCATCCTGACTCTCTTCTGATGTGCCTCTCTCTCTCAGTCAAGGAACATAACTAAGCTTTTCGGAGTTACTCTTAACAATTATCTTCTTTTGGTCTGAGCAAGTCAGTCATGTAATTGCAAAAGCAAGAAGGCTTCCCTTTCTTACCCTATACCTAATGCGATTATCCATTCCATTCCAATCTGATAAAACAGTTTGTTCACGCCTGCATTTGATCTCACTGGCTCTAGGCTTCCCCAGTGAATTGTCCTGGTTGTTTACAAACCATATGGATGTGTGGTATTTTGGCTCATTCAGACATTTATCTATTTGTTTAGGTTTATATACAAAACTCGTCTAATCCATCACTCAGTTTCCCAATACATCTAATCCAGTAATAAGCTGGCTTTCTGATTACTGTCTGATTCCTGTCACCCAGTTAACTCTGCATTATCTATATACATTTCAATCTCTGCCACTAGCTTCTCACCTTCAAGCACTCACAAAAGCGTATTACTCTTTATCTGGTCCTCATCTGGCTCGCTTTCATACCACCCGGAACGTATCTGACATGATTGGATGAAAGCGTCGAATTGGATCTGCACACTTAGTGCATTTATCAATAACTTCATATGTATGCGGTATTTGGTAGCTGAACTGTGCACCAGTTGATGCAATAAAGCATCTAGCTGACTTGAACATTCTGAGGCCACAAACGTTATTGTTGAAAGACGATGCAACCATTGGAAAAACAGTGACAACACATGAGGACTCACTGGCACTACTTCACAGAACAAAATTAATGCTGTTTATCAATGGTTGATAGAAAGCTGTATCGAATTAAATGCGTCAACATTTACCATCTTATCCTCTAAGGATACCAACAACTTCCGTATGCCTGGAATGAGAAAAATCTTTAGACTGCCCCAGGGCATTGCCCACTACTGAAGGACATATTCATTTTCCTAAGGTGAGTATTTGGCAAATATGTTGTTCCAACATTTGTGATCAGCCTACATTCGATCCCACAGAGTGTTCTCCAGTCACGCTTAGAATCGATGGCTGCAGCGCTGTCGTACTATTCTGGAACGTCCACCTAGTGCGGCTATCAAAATGGTCAAGGAATTGTATTTTAAGATGTATGTGGAAAGACTGGAATTTGTGTAATCGATTGGAGAACAACATCACATACGTGTTAAACATTGATCAGCTCGAGGTCAGGGAGAAACTATGACGATAACAAAACCCTTCATTCCTTAATTCATTTATTTTCACAAAGAAATTCACGACTTCAGAAATAAAGGTGATCCTCGGATGTGATTGTTTGTTCGAAATGTCTTGTTAATGTGGATGCAATTGATAAATGACACAATCGTTTACAATTATGTGGTCTACATGAGTGATCCGGGGCAATTGGGGATAACTCAAGTCCATTCGGGTCGACCGTATCGCATCCAGTTACCACTAAGTCCTGTCATGTTGGACGGCAATAATGAGTCCACGTAGAGTGACAACCAGCATTGACCGGTCTCCATATGATAGTATAATGCACGACAGCTGGGTTCACGCTTGCATCTGCAATTGCGGGACGGGAATATGATGTGAATGAGAATGGGAAAAGTATTGACCATGTGGGGATTGACCGCGCAGTACTGATCGAATGGTTGTCTTCACTACTACTCTAAGTCATATTAGTTGTAGTGTCAAATGAAACTGAAAATTCATCACATCATTCACTGACACTTTGTTGTTGGATTTTCTATTCTGAACTTTATAGTTCACATTTTTTTACTGTCGAGCTTGTTCTTGTTGAGCAGACGCTTGAAGTGCTTTTTGTGCGAATGTGTAATGTGGACTGAGTGTTTTTGGTTGTTTTATTACGACCTCAATTTCGATTGAACACTCTTCAGTTGGACTTTAAGTTGCTGTCATTTATATATTCAACTCATTTTAGTGGTAACGGTCAAAATTAGTTTTACTTCAACCATGGAGGTATGCGAAAATTTCCTTTTAGTCCAGAATTATCTGAGAGGTATTGTGAGATACTCATTTTGCCGCCTATTTTTTTTTATTACCACAGATGTTTCCTGTGATTAATTGTTACAGTTCGTTGCTAGGACGTGTTTCAAGATCATTCATTGCCGGAGGTATGAGTGCTTTGTGCATTCGTGACGGTTGTCAATATAGTTGCACAGATTATTTTCGATCTATTTATTGATCGATAACTTTCTTCCACGCATTGGCCTGAGGTTTGATCAGCACTGTCGAAAACAAGCGAAAGGTTATCAAATTAAACTGATTTGCCCGGGGTCTTTTTGATTCACTTGAACCAGGAAAACCGCGTATTGGTTGTTGCTAAATACGTTCCCCAAACACCTCACGATTATCTATCCCTAAATTTTGATCCCATGGAGGGAAACGGTGTGACATATCTATTGCCAATCAACAATCTATGGAAAAACATTCACAACCTAGTGGATTTTTAGTGTAAAGACAAATGATGCTCATGTTTACTCAAGACAGTTGGGGGGAACAATCCTCTGAAACGAACACATCAGATGTAGCTGTCTTTTTTGCGAAATTGTGACTGCGCCACTTATATCGCACGCGCTATGAAAGTGGAAAATCACTTTCCATAAAAACTGCACTGCTATCTTATTCAAAAATGGAGTGCTCTGAAACATTTCTTACCAATACTCAAGAACAAGTGTGAACAAATTGACTCACCTATTTCCAAGTTGTTCAGTTTGTATATATCCTGTTTAAGTATCCCAGATCGCTGGGAAGCTGCCCGGATAATACCAGTCCCCGATAACTTATCTGCCGAATGCCGACCGTTTGGTGCAGCACATCAGCACTATTGAACGGTACTTAAAACAGTGCTTTCAAACCAGATGACCCTTTTCTCTGTTGCTCATCACTCTACTCAATTTGCTAACCAACCTTTGCTTTGCGCTCTGGAAGTTGTTGTTCACATTGTTTACTCCCGTCCATCCGCACTGAAGGAAGGGCCTGGGATCGTTCGTTTACGTTTTCTTAGTTAGGCCACCACTTTCAGATCACCCAGAACCCGACTGTGTCACTATCCTTTCAAGTCTTCCTCATTGCAGCCTGGTACGTGATACGCTGAATTGGCGACTCAATTACGTCTCACATAAGACGTAGTTGACTCCTTGAAATGATGAATCCTGCTTGCCGTTAGAGATAAAATTTGGGGTTCGAAAACAGAGTACGAATATATACGTACTTGTATTCGAAGACCCATCACCCATGAGGATTTAGTTCATTGGTCAGAAACGTATCCCACAACATCAAGACATGTCACCAGATAGAAGTGCACACACAACGGTTTATACAGCATCTCTTGACTCACTTCAAACCACACTCGGTAACTGATTCGCACATAAAGGTACGGAAACATCCTGTATGCAAGTTGTCATTGAGAAATAGTGACTGCATTTTGTAAGGCCAATTCTGGCTGAATATTTCCACCGCGGTCGATGGTTCGCTATCGGACAGTTCACACACTATATGCGTCGAACTGAACTGCTCCTGATAGGCATCATATAGGCCGGCATACACATATACACCAATAGAACAGTGCAAATCACTCGGGTGTAATGGATACCATGGAATTGTGGTGTCCTTTTCGTCCCATTCCAACGATTGCAATCCAGGATCACCGAAACGCCACCCAGCTGTGACAGTTTGAGAACGATTCAACAACGCAGTAATGCTAGAAAAAATGATATAATAAGCTGATAATAATTTCGAAGCCTGTCCGATGTTTCTGCCGGGCACGAATAATCGGAGACCACGAATCTTGCCCTCCCGTTCACAGTACTCATGTGCTTCACAAAAGTTCGTACTGTATGTGGTAAGTAATATGCACTTTCCGTTTTCAACATCCTTTAGACCGGTTGGACAGATGGGCTTACAGTGTTGTGTGGTGAGGGACAAAACGAGTGCCAACCGGATCCACATCAATCGATTTGTTCCAGGTGACCGCGTGTGTTTGATTTGTCTTCGTTCATCGGAATATTCCATTTTATGGGAAAGTGTTGAATTCAATCAAATTAATTGGATGTTTTCGATTGGTCAAACGGGAGTCGGCCAAATTCTGCCATATAATTGGTCAATGAATGTCAGTTGACGTACACATTGTTTTCGAAACTCGAATTTTGGTGATTTTGTGTATTGGGTTATATTATATTGTATTGAAGCTTTTGCGGGTTATATGCAATGGAGCATTGTAAAATGTGAACTTACTAATAAATGTGTTGCTTATCAGTCAGTATCCAGACGAGATGATATAGAAAAGAGTTCCCGTTCGCCGATATCCGAGACGAGATTTATCTGTATTTGGAATGGATTTGTTTGTTTTTTTTTTTGGGGGGGGGGGGGGGTTTTNTAAACGATGAGTGCGATCAAATAGATTATTGCCAGAGAACTTCAAGCATGCATCAATATGAGCCTCACAGGTATTGTCAATCAAAACAGATAAAGGAGTTTGGTAACCACGCTTGATAATCGAGAGATTATTCCTCACCAGCTTCAATTGGTTGCGCTACGCACTCTGCGCTTATTTGTCACATTAGAATTTATCGTGTTCGTTTCATCAATATTTCGGTTCCAGTCTGATATAGGATCTATATTTAATCTCATCAGGACATGCTACGACTAAAAACTGTGCATTCTGAGCTATCCACTAATTATTTGCTTGCTGAGAGTCATAAATGTCCTTGGATCAAAAAACGAAGACAGGCCACACTTACTTGCACCCCTCCGGCAAAGATGACTGTGCCATCATCGGTCAGCGCTAACGTTCGCTCACTATTCGCGAAGATCTCGGATTTAGCTTTCATTCCGAACAAACGTATTAATTTCAACACATGTGTGGTATATGTATGAAAAACCTGGTTGAATCAAAAAATTGAGGACGTGCTCGTGCGAATAGAAGGCTTTGATTTCTACCGGCAGGATAGACAGCGAAGTAGGAAAAAACCGGAAGCTGTGTGGTTACTTACATCAGTGTTTCCTGGTGTGGCAAGTCAGAAGTTATATATAACTGTTCTGAAAATAGCATTGACGATTTTTCTATTTGTTGTCGTTTCAAACATTTCCGTCAAAAAATTACAATCGTAACTAATGTGTATATATCTCCCGCGTGTTCTGAGACGGAAATTTCTGCCTTATTTGATTTATATATCCCGTTTTTAGTGTCATTGTAAGATGAAAATCTCCAATTATTTGTTGTTGATTTCAATCATACAAGCACTTCTCCCCTGCTTCCGTTCGGCCGGTCTGGCCTTTCGCATTCTCCTACCAGAGGTAGTTCTGTGCTAGACTGAGTGCTCACTAACCATCCCAACTTATTCCCTCTCAATGTAATGACCCCAGTTTCCACTAGTGACCATGGTATTCTTCTTGTTCGACCAAACGTTTACTCTCGCACTGCTTATCATACATGTGTAGGTTCTACTCCAATAAACTTCTATCTTTTCAACCGTTCTGTTGTGCTTGTCCAGTCTTGGTTTAATTCGTGTCCAGCGCTTTGTAAATGTGTCAGTCTGTTCACTAAAACGACTAAACTGATCTTTAAATTATGGTACTCTATAGTAACCCTGTTTCTCTATGACGGCAGAATTATCTCACTCCTTTTGAAACCACTGAGAAGACACGAGGAATGAGACTGCACATCTCACTGTGCATCAGTTATAAAACACTGTTCTGATTTATTCAGGTCTGGAATAGCTTATCTAAATACAATCTTTGCCGCCCAAATTCGTCAAACAATAGCAAGCCTTTCACCTTGTCTGTGAGCAGAACAGACAATACTCGAATACTCCGGTGAACGTCAATACCCTTAACACCGCTCTCATCCATCGGTCAAATGCGAGCCAAATTCCATCAATCCCGTGTAATGAATCCAGTTCCGTGCCTTTTCAAATGATGAAATATTTAACCTTCTTTGATCCTGCAAAGCATCCTCAGTTGCAGGCTCTGATGCTCTTCCTCCGGCACTTGTGAACTTTGGAGAGGTTTCCCGAACCAATAGGATGACTTCCGTTGTCAATGAGTCCCCATCTTCCTGGTAGATTCTTGATTCGCGGTGTCAAGTTGACATTATTATAATTCGCAAATCCACGTCCTCAACTGCGAAACGGTTTTGTTCTGACACGCAGATCTCAACGTCTCTAAAGTTGACTAAAAAGGCCATCCTGAGTCACTTGCAATCAATTATCACAATTCATCATGGCCCCCCTGTTTTGCATATAAAGCTAACAGGTCTACACTGCACGTCGTATTAACTCTAACTCATTTATTCAGTTAGGCATCAAACCACTTGGGGCCAAGTCTGTCCGTTGTGTTTTTCTTCACTATTCGTCTGCGTTTAAGGAAGATATTAAAACCTCTTGTCAATGATTTTAGTGTCCTTCAAGTTGCTGTTTTATTTCCATATCTTTTTTCTGCTGTAATTACTGATCTTTCGGTCCTACTCCCTACGCGCATTTAAAAGTATGCTGATGATGTCGTTTTGTGTCAGACAATTTCATGTCCTTTGGAATTTCATTTTTTCGCTGAAAATCTATCCCAAATCCAACATTTTTCTGACCAATCTGGTCTGTCTTAACATATCTAAGTGTGTGAAGTGTATTTTCAATCTTTCCCGGTACTCATTTCCCCTAACCGACTCAACCACTCAACCATAAACCTGTGTTTGGAATGAGCTTAGTCAACCACCTGGTTGTCACCATCGAAAGCAATTTTCATTGATCCACAAATATTTACAATTTTAAGGGAACTACTGAGACGCCTGTCTTTTCACCTAAGTAAACTCAAGCAATGCCGAACCCCACAATCGGTCTTGTCCTCTTTCGTTTATCAATACGTTTTACTCACTCTGCTCTACTGCTCCCATGTAGTGTTCCCCGGCTTTTTAACACAAGACAACAAAACAATTCGTCGTAATTTGATGATAAGCAGCCGTGCATCAGTAACACCAATCGATTCATTAGGCGCAGGACGCAATAATGGTCACATCAACTGTTGTGTTAAATTTGCCAATATGAGTATAGTTATTTGAACTGACCGTCCTTCGAACTTCAACTTCATGCGCAATCCTTAGCTCGTCGAATCAACCATACACTCGAAAGCACTAGACTCGAGTTTCGCTCTTATTAGAGTTCAGCAGTAGTACATATTCACAATCCGCCCGGAATTTGAGCTCCAGACCCATCGCAAGAAAGGTGTATGTGCGTTACCACTGTGCCAACCGGCTCATGCGAGGGCTGGACCAAAATGCCAATTCATGTCTGTTCAGGTGTCATCCTCAGTGACAGTCAGCCAGTTCATTTAGCCCAGCAGCGACAACGGGAGACACAGCAGATAACTTGTTAACTCCAGCAGAAAGCCTCCACGAAGTCGGACTTGCATACAGGTGACGGGATGATTTGCTAACGAACCTACAATATTGGATTGTGACTTCACGTTGAACTCACAGTTACTTGTGAGTAGTGTTGTGAGCTGGCGATATCAACAGCGTACATAAGTGTCGTATTGAGGGAGTAGTAGTTAAGTCACTAATATAGGTCACAAAAAAGATGGGATGACAAGAAAGCACCTTCAAGTACACCCGAACTATTGAGTGATGCGGTTGATTGTCTTCTTCTCAATCCACCATATTGACAAGAGTGAAAAGTAACCAGTAAGCCATTCAAGAAAAGAGGAAGAACAACCGAAAGATTGTCGCGGTTTAAGCAAAAGACAACAAGACACCTAGTCAAAAACGGAAGAACAATCAAGAAATTCACAGTGCACATATTTGACTTTCTCTTTTAGGGACGTGCAGATGAGGTGAACTAGAGAAGAAACGGCATCCGATGTAGAGCGGATATATTTGTATGCAAGCTGATAGTTGTCATCGGGGGCTGGTGGAAGATAACTGAGTACAATACAGTACTGATCGATCCATCAATTTCAAACCAGTCGAAGTAACGGGGGGCTTCTTCGTTCCTTTTGAAGATAAGAGTAATTCTCGCCCGGTTTCAGCACTTCGGAATATTTCGGAGTTCCGATGAAAGATTAAATATGTGCGCCAAAATGTGAGGCAAAAGCACGGCACCGTGTTTAACACGTGAAGTTTAGTTGTCTGGACCCGGTGCGGTGGACATCTTGGGAGAACAGATGTTTCTCGATACATTTCATTAGAGGTAATGAATGGGTTCAAACGAGGAGGAGATCTTTGGAGAACTCGAGTCAATCTAACTGGGAGATGTGAGAGATGTGAGCAATGGATAAATGAGGGATTCCAGTCTCAATATCAAATTGTGTCCATCAACGGTTACTGCTTTCTGTTTTAAAAAATAAGGTAGGGTAAGATTAGGGGGCCCAGAACGATTTTTTACGAAGGTGCCTCATCAATCATGTTGGACAAGAGACAGACTTTTATTCCTTGAACGAAAGTATAGATTACGCACTAGATGGATGCGGCAGTCGAGGTGAGAACTGTGATAGGATTGCTAAGTCTTCAAGTTTTTGGTTGATCTATAGATAGATAGACAGACAAATCCTTCGACAATATAAGTGGAAGGCATAAGCATTTGTGTTGAATACTCAAGGTATAGTAACAGGAATGGCAGAGTATCTTTATTCACTTCAGTAAAAATAATTCAATAATGGTCTTTTCAAGAAAGCGGATGAACTGAACGAGATCAGTGGGAACGTTTGCAAGGTTCTAAGGATAGAGGAGGACAAACATCTGCAGGAAATGTGGTATGTATTGTGTGTCCGTGGATATTGGCAAATCCATATGTCTTGTCTGGAACGCTTTTTATGACGGACATGTGTAATCCATTAAATGCATTTTTGAAAAAAATAACCCAGAATTGGTATCGATTAGCAAATTTTTAGTGATCTGTTTGAGACAACTGTGAACTGAACTGCAGTCAGACATCAGACAAATCGAGGGAGAAGTGAATTCTATGCTAATCCCGAGTTTTTCCTCTATTTTCCACTATTTTCATAGAGTGTGGTTATGCGTAAGACGCGTTACGTTCTGGGGTGAATCACGGTAGTTGTTCAAGGCAGTTTTACGCTTTTAATGTATAACAATGTAATAAAACCAATCCCATCCTCGTCTGTTAGCTATCGTTCCTGTTACTTGTATCATCCTTTATAAAACTGTTGCATTTCAGATGCCATGATCTTATGAAAAACGCGGTTATTCATTGGTAATTAGAGGTGGATAGCGTGACTACGTCCATGTCCTAATGAGGTCATGTGAGGGGGTCTTCTTTCCGCACAACTGCCGAATTCTCGTTTTATTCAATCACAGAATGGTTTCTCCCAATTTTTACGAGACATTTCTGGATATCTGCTTGACTGGTCATTAGTAAATAAATGTTTTTCTCAATCCGTCAGTGATTTATTTGTACGTCTGATGTAAGAACTGGACGGCCAAACGTTTACCGAACAAAGTGGAGCATGTAAAATCCGCTGTGTTTGTGTGTGATTATGGCCTACGTACTGTTTGTTTCATGTTAACCGAAATTGGTCTGATTAGACCATTTGCATCACCTGAGCATGTCGCTCGTGTGTGTGAGAACTCGTTTTCCTGTCTCCGCTCAAATCGTTTACAATCCGTAAATTATTTTAATTCTAACATTGAACCGATGTGCTCGTGTTGCACAATCTGTCTTGTTGCCGACCGTACTATTTTCCACTTGAATCCACAAGATCCGGTCTGAGATTCGAGGCTGAAATACTTTCTCGGTCATGTCGATAGGTGATTTCTCGAACAGTCTGGTT